TAAATATTCGGAATGTTTTAGCGGTTTAACTCCTCCTAAACGGCTCAACCGATCTTTACGAATTTTTTTTTTTGTATATATGGTAGGTATAAGAATCGGATGTAAAGTATATTTCAGTATATTTCACACCGCTAGGTGCAGGGGGCATGGCACCTCCCATACAAACCGAATTTTACATATTGCATATCTCTGAAAGTGTTCATGGTAGAGTACCCGAATATTGTATGGAGATATATGAAAAAAATCGCATACTCATGCAGAAAAATAGCGGTTATTGTAAAAGGGGGCTTGGCACCTTCTATATAAACCGAATTTTTCATACTGTGTATCTCTGGAAGTGTTAGAGTACTGGATCTTGGTATGTACAAGATGTATAAAATCAATCGTATAGTCATGGTGAAAAATTTGAGCTGTTGGAAAAAGGGGCGTGGCACCTCCCATACAAAACGAATTTTTCCCACTGCGTATCTCCGGAAGTGTTCATTGTAAACTACTTAAACATGTTACGGAGATATACGTAATCATTCAAATACTCTTAGAGAAACTTTGGGCTATTTGAAATGGGGGCGTAGCACCTTTCAAATGCACTGTTACTATTACGTATCTTTGTATGTATATACACTTTTTCTAGGTTATTTAAGACGGCCATGGAAATATGGCTTCTGACTACCACCAAACCATAATATTAGACGATAAATGCGTCACTGAAAATCATGGGCGTGAACTGTTGGTGAAAATGTTGGACCAAAATGTTTCAATACAAAAAATTAATTTTGGGCGGGACAAAGTTCGCCGGGTCTGCTAGTAGTATTTCTATAAAAATACCGTCCAAGCTGTAACTAGAACCATATAAATCATAGTTTTTATACAAAATTAATACCAAATTTAGAAATATTCTACAAATTTTCATCAAAACTTCAACTTTTTAGTCTGAGTTCTTAGAACATTTTTGGTATGCAGTTTTTTAGCCCATACAATTTCAGTATAACGAAGTGCAAGCTTCAACCTGCTATAAAAAACCGCGTTAATTTTTGAGATATTTTTTGACACGGCTTTGTG